TCATTAAATTAATATGAAAACAGAATGCATTACAATGGACATTACAATTTTACAATCCATCTTGATTCCATCTTCTATCATGGGTCTCTTTCCACTTATTTATAATCATGGTATGAATATTTCTTACAAATTTGTTTTCATTGTACTATATTCATTGTCTTTATCTCATTTCTGGCCCATGATGTACTTTTCCCATTAAGCAATAACTCATATATATAATTTTCTCCTTACACCTGCATTTCCAACAAACATACAAAACACTCTATGCATCTTAGATAATTTATATGGTATTAAATATGACCAGTTCATCATTTTATAGAAATTCTCTTTAAGATTATAATTCAATGTGAATTTCAAGCCTTTAGTCCACGTATTTTCCCATTGCTAACATTTTTTATAACCAACATTTCCAGTCCATTGAATGATACAATGTTTGATGTGCTCTCTCTGTAGGTCCAATGTAACATTTTATAAACCTTAGCTTTAAGATGTTCATTAGCACACAGTATATTTCAATTTCGTTTTTAGCAACTTCAAAACCATATTTAATCCAAATCAAACCTTTATTTTCTATTGTAGATAGATAAACAAGTGACATTTTAGCTCTTCTTTTGATTTAAGAGTGGGTTCACTTTGAACGAAGGATATTATTTCATTATAAATCCATCAGTTAGGGTTCCCTGTGATCTCCTTCTTAAAAAAGGCTTTTTTGGGTAACACTCCAAAAAAGATACTTTTCTTTATATTTATCCCAAACTCTATAAATGTGGTTCTTAAAATCCATATTCATTTTAACTATATCCTACCACAGATAGGCATAGCAATTCATAGCCGTTTCAAGGCCACAGTTGTTAGCGTCCACAGTACCAATCAGTTCCTGGCAGCTTGTCAGATAATTACATGACTGCTGCACATTATGACTGAAAACCTGACTCTAACAAAACTACATTGGCTGAAATCAAGTGAGCCAAATGTTTAAATGCACAGAGGATTCTTCCCCCCACCATCTATAATGGTGGTCTACTGCATTGTCTGTGCTGCATGGTGCTCTTGTAGCAGATTTCTCATGAAATAGATTGCTGACCAAGTGAAATGGCCCAAACAATTGTTCTAACAAATGTGCCTGAGGTAGGCAGCACCAAACAATGAAAAATGTTCCAGAAATTTATGAGCACTTTGCAGATTTCTATGAATATGTGCAACATCAGAAGAGCAGGGGAAGGAGAGTGAATTCATTTAGTGCAAACCTTCTGAAGTACAGCATGTCCTTACCCAAAAGCAGGGCATCCTTTGCGGAACCTTCAACTTCTATTGAGGAAAGGTCAGTGCCCATAAGCCATAGATTTAGTATTAGCAGAGGGGGAAGCCTCTTAAAACCATCTGCTGCTTACATAGGTATTGTACCTATGGAAAGTGTCAGCAGCCTGGGCACACGGATATCCCGCAGAGCTCTGGGGATAAGCAGTGTCTTCTTACAAGGTCTTCATAGTTCCTGTACAACCATACCACTATTTCACGGATTGGAAAAAGAACGAAGCCTATCTTATGAAAATATGAACAGATGCTTGGTGGATTACATTGAAAAGGTGAAAACTTTGGAGCAAGTCAACCAGGAACTTGAAGGACATATCCGTGCTTACCTGAACAAGAAATCTTCCGCTGACAGTAAATGGGGATCTCTAAGGGAGAGCTGGGCAACCATTTATCATCAAGTAAGTATGAAACTTTATAGCAAGAACAAAAAAAATGAAGCATTTGTTAATCACAGCCAAATTCGCCAAATTCATCTAGATCTTGATGAGGCTACTTAAGTTGAAGCTTAAACACCATTTTCTCCTACCTGATATAATTTAATCTTCATAAAAGTAAATTCTATTGTTTATATTGTTTTGCAAAATTCAAATCAAGTTTGAGCCTTTCCATAGAGCATCTGTAAGTTTTTATTCCTTTATTTAGTGTATTACCTGACTCTCCACAATTCTGAGTGGTTCACAAGAAAATATTAAAGAAGAATGAAAAGTTGTTTGTTTTTCTTTTAAGTAGTTATTGAGGAGGATTGAACAATTAAGAGAAATACTGCCAGAACTGTTCAAGTTTATGCACTTATATAACCTTTTTACCAGTATGATTCTATATGTAATGAAGAAAGTGAGATTTTCATTATATTCCCATCCTTGTCACCTTTTAAAATTACAATTTTGTTCAGGGAATAGAGACACACTAATAAGTGAAACTTAATATCATCCAAAGCATAAGTGATAACAGCATAGGGAAGCCTCATTTGCAAGTCTCCCACAACTGTTTTCAAAATCAATTTTCAGCTTTTGGAAACATAATCATACAAGTACAATACGTGGGAGCTATCATGTTATTGGCTATTCGCTCATTTACCAATAATAAACATGTCCAAAAAAGCTAATAGTGTATATATTTCAAATATACACACATATTTCAGGAGATCAAAAAATAAACAAATAAATTGGAGGAGGGATGGACTCTGATAGATAAGATCTCAAACAACATGCTTGTTATGAAAGAGTCAAACTCCTACGAGAAATATTTCAACATTTGAGCTTTTTTTTTTTTTTACATTTTGGGATTTACAGTAATCACTTAGGAATTATCACATACAATAACAGAGGAATGCCATCTCATCAAAAATACAGTGTACAGGAAACATGCTTGTAATATATAGGACATATAAAAGCTGTTTTAAATAATTCCAATAGCAATAGTGCCATACGGCAAGTTATTGTTACTCAGTGGTTCACTCTGAAGATTCATCCATTTTTCCACTCTACAGTGTTGTCAGGAAAACATTAAGTCACGTCTATGCAAACACCATTTGAGTAAGATGTTATTCTAGCATAGAGTTCCATCCGTATACAATTTTGGATATAGATTGTATATTTTGTTTACATTTGACTCTTTGAACTGTTATAGGTAGGGGATGCAGTTCTGGAAAATGCCCGCCTCATGTTGCAAACAGAAAGTATTCAAGCATGTGCTGAAGATGTTAAAGACAGGTAAGATTAAGTTAAAAATAAAAATTCAATATTTAAAAAATAAAGGAACTGTATTGGAAATAAATTGAGGAAACTGGAACCCGATCCTCTTCCATCAGTAGAAGGCAACTGTGACTTCAATAACTAGTAGTTCTTCATGCCAGAAGTCTAAACTTTGTGATATTATTTTGACATATTCTCATTTTTACTGCAGGTATGAAAATGAGCAACCATTTCGAAAGGCAGTGGAAGATGAAATTAACTCTCTCTATAAAGTAATTGATCATGCTAATTTGACTAAAGTAGATCTGGAGAGTCAGATAGAAAACATGAAGAAAGAACTAGCTTTACTGTCAAAGAATCATGAAGAGGTAAATCAATTCTGAGAAACAAAAAATTATATGTATTCGACTTCTATCTAAACAAAAGATGGAAATGAACTTTATGTCTGACAAGGACATTTTGATACCAGAATTTTAATGCCATCAATAAGCATTTTATCATTTTGTAATACTGCATACCGATTAAAGTTTAATTAGCATTAAAACCAATAGGCAAAAAACACTTTATAAGAAAACATTATGAAACCTCTACTTTCTTTTGTATTCATATTCAGAACGCAGCCACGCGAGCTGTCGTGGGTGCACCTAGGTACACCCACATTACACCAATTCTCTGCGAGCCGCACTGGCTCCCTATTGGTCTCCGGTCACAATTCAAGGTGTTGGTTATTACCTTTAAAGCCCTACATGGCTCAGGGCCAGGTTATCTTCGAGACCGCCTTCTGCCGCATAGCTCCCAGTGACCGGTAAGATCCCACAGAGTTGGTCTCCTCCGGGTCCCATCAGCTAAACAATGCCGGCTGGCGGGCCTGCGGGGGAGGGCCTTCTCTGTGGCGGCCCCAGCTCTCTGGAACCAATTACCTCCTGAGGTCCGGACCATCCCCATCCTATTGGCCTTCCGAAAAGCGGTGAAGATCTGGCTTTTCCGGCAGGCCTGGGGCCGTTGATCTCGCTCTTGTGATCTGGCGAGATTCGGCCATGAATAGTGTGAATGAGTTTTTAATGTTTTTAATTTTTAAATGTTTTTTATAATGATTTTTTAAAATGTATTCTGAGCCACCCTGAGTCTTCAGAGCGGGGTGGCATATAAATTGAATTAATTGAATTGAATTGAATTAAATATTAGAAATTTCTGAGTTATCCTTAGTAATTATACTAAGTGTTGTAAACTGAGACAAACAGATATGTATTCAAGGCTGTTCTGTTTTTCACAGAACATCATAGAAAATAAGCAATGGCTATCAGCAGTACAGCATATATTCACTATCAGATGTACAGCCTTCACCATCATAGTTATAAATATCAATGGCTGTGGAATCCAAACATTTTGGAGTTCCCAGAGAGATCTGGCTATCGATTATGGGAATAGTGGTAGATTAGATGGGATTTCAACCTGTACCAGAAGGGCTTTTTTATGTACTTATGAGCATCAACAAATGTAATCATGTACCGGATTTAAATAAAAACTTTTGAAGCAATGCAAACCATTTGAGTCATAGCATTGTGATAACTGTTTTATTAAACTGACAAGTTAAATAATTTTGCAAACCACCCATTCGTTTTAAGATACTCTTGAACATGACTTGTTCTCAAGAAAAATATATTCATAGTTGCCACTTAAAGCCACAATGTGATTTTTATGTTTGTATTAAATTCTAACAGATATTATGAAATACAAGTTGAGAAACAGCTCTTTCAACACCTTACTATAGAGGCAAATGCACTGCATAGTGACTAAGTTGCATCAAAAAATAATTGCTCTGGCTTTTGTTATAATATGTGCTTCTGTTTCTTTAGAAGGATTATTTTATTTATTTAAATGAATTGGTCATCTATTTGTAACAACTTTATTTCCAGGATATCAAAATGCTTTACAAACAGCTTGCTTTATCACCACTGGAAGAATCAGAAACCTCCATTGGAATTAGCCTGGATGACATTTTGAAGAAAATCCAGATTCAATGGGAAAAAAATGTTGAACAAAACTATACTGAGACTGATCTCTTACTCCATGCTAAGGTAAGCATGGAACAAGCTAAGATTAACTATAAGAATTAATTTCAAATTGTTTTAAGTCAATTAAACATAATCAAACAGCATACAGTATAAGCTTTTGAATTATGCAGAATATTTCAGCAAAATTGTAAATAAAACCAAGAATGCAGCAGGAAATAGTAAAACAAGACCCACAGGATTTGCATTTGATCCAGTCTATGTGTAGAAGAGGACAAAAAGTCATGCAATGCATATAAAAAAAGGATAAGCTTTCAAGCCCATGGTTGCAGCTGCCATTTTGACTTTTACAGTAATTCTCATTGTGGATATCCGTAACTTGATAGGTAACGGAAAAAAGTTATAAACATTCAAATTAGGCTCTTTGAATGCTCTTTGATAGTTGCAAATTGCAACTAGGATTATCTATAGCTCTGCTAGGATGAAAAAACCTAGCAATTTCTGCTCCTCTATTTTATCAAAATTTAGCTTCAAATTGTCAAGTGGAACTAATGTTAAGTGAAAGAAACTCCCCAAAAATGTGAATTGGTTACACACACACACACACACACATTTATCAGGCTAATCCAAAGGTCGAGAGCATGGGAAGCTTTTGATTTCTCCAGAATTGTTCATCAGTAGAGTGATTATGTGCTATTAAATTATTTTCATTTCTAGCAACCAGTTTTTTTCCACAATGCTCTATCCCTAACTTGTTCTTTCAAGTCTCCCAATGGTGCACTTGGGATAACTGAATCTATCCACCTTGCTGTTGATCATCCTCTTCATCCCTTTCCTTCTTTTCCAGCATTAGAGCCTTCTCCAGAGAGCTGGGTCTTTGCATAGGTCTAAAGTAGGATAGATGATGATGATGACAAAAAGCTGGCTACTGTTGAAGGAAATTAATAAATTTAGGTAACTGTAAGTTCACTGGCTTGGTTCCTGCCTATAATAGTCATACTTAACAGTATAACTTTATGGGTCAAATTATCTCTCTTCAGTGTCATCAGTTTTACTGGGATTGAAATAAGACTAGTATAATCTAGATTTAACCCAGTTGTCTGCTTTTACATTTTAATGTAATGCTATTCATTATTAAGACTGTCCAATGCTTCTGATTTGATTAGGAAGAAATGTCTCAAAATACATGGAAATGTATTTTGACAAATGTAGACTTTATCTGTGACTCATTAGAACAGCCACAATCCATAAAACAAGCTAGAGCCACTGAAATGAATTACAGGTGCGGTGTTTATACATAGACAAACTCAGCACTTCTTCCTAGCAATCTGAAGCACTACTCATTAGCAATAACTTTTATTTCCATTTTCTTCTGACATTTCTATTCAATAATTATATTTATTTGTGTTAATAATTAAAAAGCTGGATCCAAAACTTAGTAATTTTCCTTTCATTTTTCTCTAATATACTGTACCTATGTAGAGACCAGAAAATAAAACAATGTTTTTCTGTTTATCACTGTTATGTCAGCAATCCACAGAAACAATGCCTGCTGTACAAACACAAGAGGCAGAGTTGGCTGAATCCCTAAGGGCAGAGTTTCATGAAACAGCTTGCAAAATTCAAAGCCTGCAAGTAGAGACCGAATCACTGAAAACATTGGTGAGTAAGGGACCAGGCATCTCTTTCTGGCAAAAATAACTGACCTGGTTCACATATTATATTATGTGAAAATGTGTTTGGCTTTATTTTTATTTTTTATTTTGATTTATATGCCGCCCTTCTCCAGAGATTCAGGGCGGCTTACAATGCGTTAAGCAATAGCTTTCACACTTTTGTATATTTATACAGTCATCTTATTGCCCCCACAAACTGGGTCCTCATTTTACCTACCTTAGAAAGGATGGAAGGCTGAGTCAACCTTGAGCCTGGTGAGATTCGAACTTACAGTAATTGCAGACAGCTGGTGTTAATCACAATGCTTTTAGTTTGCTGAGCCACCAGGCCCTTGACTTGGAATGTTAGTGAACTATATGTTATATTTATAAACCATGGCTTTCTATCTGAATACTATACAAAAGCAGTATTTATTCAACAAACATAACTCGCTAAAACCTAGATTAATGCAATATGTCAATTCAGCCATTTCTCCTTTGAACTCAAATTCTTTCAATTTATTTGTGGTACCATCTTTCTACTGTGAAAAGCTACCTTTCAGAAATAAGCTGCAAAGCAGAGTTTATTAGGAGTTAGGCAAAAATAAAACTGATTTTGTTCTCCCAAGCAGCCAGTTTAGGAAAAGAATACACAGATCTTATTTAAAGTTCTGGACTGATCTCTTCCAGAGGGCTTTTCAAATTAACTGAAAAATACCCCTTGTCTTAAGATATAAAACTTTTATGTTAAAAGGCTACATTTTAGACATCACAATTTTTCCATTCCATTATTAAAATGCCTAATTGTCTCTTTTGCTTCTATGTATTATAGTAGAGCAGCCATTTTATGAACTGGATCCCCTCACCCCTAGAATGACCCTTTTCTTTTGAGTTCATATGTTCTTAAAATATCAAATGGTCCCCAAAGCTTAGTGCATTATTAATAAACAGCTGACTAGCTCTAAACTGTTTACTATCAAACAACACTTTCCATGAGTTTTTACAAATCATGAATTAGAACCTGCTTTCTGATAAAACAGTAATCATTACTATCATTACTAAATTATCCACTTTTAACTTGAATTTTGGAATGCACTGATAATACAGATAATAATATTGATGTCATCTGGAAAAATTGATCTTTTACCAAAATATTGAGGGCAGCTACATTAGCAATATTTAAATGCTCCTGATCAGTATTTATTTTAATGGCCAAATAATCTCTTTGACTGGAATTCTTTAGTCTGTGCATAGCAGCTATTCTGCAGGAATAATTTATTAATATATTTTTCTTCTAGAAATTAATATGTATCTGAGAGGATTCTATATTTGAAAAACTAGTATGTATGGATTTATAATTGTATCTAAAGACAGAAATTCAAAAGATTTAATGTTCAACATTCCATGGATGTTTTGTCTTTACAGAAGAGAGGCTTAGAAAACTCTCTTTATGATGTCAAGCATTGGCATGACATAGAGCTTCAGAATTTAGGCTCTGTCATTGCCAAACTGGAAGCAGAAGTAAGAGAAATCCAAGGGGAAACTGAGCAGCAGCAAAGAAATCATGAAACTCTACTGTCCATTAAAACACAACTCGAGTCAGATGTTGCTACATATCACTGCCTTCTAGAGAAGGAAAGCAGGTATTCTTTTTAATGAGTGAGAATTGTGTGTTGAATTTACGTAACAGCATCTCTGGGCCCACGGAAAGGAAAATCAGAGTTAGCTGATTCAGTAAGGAAAAAAAAGCAGAATATTCCTAGTTGTGGGTTACATTCATAGAAAATGGTAGAATTCCTGGTTTGCCCAACATGCTCCTTCTACCGTGTTTCCCTGAAAATATGACCCTGTCTTATATTTTTTTGAACCCTGAAATAAGTGCTTGGCCTTGTTGCCATGTGCTCAAAAGCCCAATTGGGCTTATTATCAGGGGATGTCTTATTTTGGGGGAAACAGGGTACCAGCACCTGTACTACGGGAGGGATGAGGACATCCTTCAAACTAAGTCATTCCTTCCAGCAGATGGGATCTTAAGATAAGCCATTCCCCCAATGCTTTTTCTGTACTTTATTGAAGAAAGAAAACTGGAGTGTGGTGAAAGCTCTCGGCAGCCAAATTCAGATGCCACGCTTCTTGCCATCTTTTGTAGTCCATATCTCGTTAAGGTTTTTGAGCTCATTATGTGTAGCCATTGCCATTTTGGTTCTTTGCTCCAAGAATTGTATTTCTGCATAAGAAAATCCAAGCAGTTGATTAATAATTAATTAATAATTAAGAACCTATCACAAATACTACTTACCAAATAGGAATGCAGTTATGCACATACTTTATTCATATATTCGCTTTCTCCAACTTGGTGTCTCTCTAGATTGCAAACATTGTCAACTAGTGGTTCAGTTTGTTCAAAGTCTAAGCCTACAATATAGTATTACTTTCTTTAATCAGAGCAAAAAATAGCAGGCAGCTGTCAAACTATCAAACTACAATGCCAATCAATCCTAATTAGTGTTCCCAATAACTTTAGAAAGCACCAGATATATGGTATATATATTGAACATTTAGTTGTGCTTCCCTGTGTATTTTTATCAAGAAAGCCTGGCGTTTTTAAGGTGGCATTTAAAATTAAAACTAAAATTAGAATATTGTAATATTTTAATTTTAGTAAATTAACATGTTGCATTTGCAATTATCCTACCTACACTGTAAATAAAAAGCATCAAGTCCAATTTAGTAACTTCATTTGTATTCTAACATTTATTCAGCCCTTAAAACTATGAGAAAAATTTCTTCATTGCCTCAGATTAGGTGACTCTCCTGTTCATGGCATAGCTCTTACTAATCATTTACATGAGTGTAAGGACACATGGCTCCTAAGGGACCCGAAAATCTCAATGGATTTTCAAAATTAGTTTCTACTGAATGATACCTTCTGAGATAGCCACATCTGGTAAATTTCCAACGGTCCTGCATAAGATATTGTGAAATTTCAAGAGATAACACCTCAAAGAGACGTATCTTTCTCATAGTGGAAAATTTATGAGATTTAAGAGAAGAAATGCTTTTAAGAAATGATTTAAAAGATTTAAGAAAAGAAATGCTCTTTTAAAGCATTTGCATGTGAGTTTATTGTTCACAAATCTTGAATGAGATCATCAAAATTTTACAAGAATTAAAATTGTTTTAATTTTTTAAAAAATGGTATCCATGCCATTGAACAACGGTAGTCCATACCTGAAAAGTTTGCTAACTCTTCATATAAATCCATACATATACAAAATGTATTTGTGTATTTTAATTTTCTTATTTTTCTCTTATTTTCTCTTGCTAATATTAATAATTTTGTTTTGTTAATAAGTTAACAATTTTGTTCTTTTTTAGGAAATAATAACATGACATTTTTTGCATTTAACTTTCAGCTGATGTGTTTCTCGTCAGAAGACAATTATTACCATTCAAAGAAAAGTATTTTATTGGCAAGTGTTCATGGAAAACATGACAATAAAGTTTCTGTTTGATTTGCCAATCTAAGCAGGCCAACTTGCCTAATTATATTAAACGCCCTAAATGACTGCTTTGCATAAAAGTATAATAGAATAAAATATTAGGTTCAAGTACTGCTGTCCAATTTTTAAAAAACACTGAGCAACTAAATAATTCTACAATTTTATATATGTAATTTGGAAGTTGTATTCCAGTCACAGTGGGATTTACTCATGTTTTAATTAAAGGAATAACTGAGGAATCAGACTGACAAAACATTATAATCTAAATTGTATTTTTGTAGAACAAACTTTGAGCACTATACACTAGAAATATTTACGCTAAGCTTGTAAGGTACTTTGGAGTTTGTCTATTTGTTATTGATTGCACTCTCCAAGAATGGATGTTTTCTAGATTATCTTTTCTGTTTAATCTTGAACAATGATCTCAACAGAGCCCTAAGTGAGTATTTTATATTACCAACTTAGCCAAAAAATACTACTTTTTTAAAAAAATTAAAAACTGTTTGAGGAGGCATACTGAATCATATCTCAGTACTGAAAATGGTTTTATCTCTGTCCCTATTGCAGTTTTTTAATTTAAATTCCATACATATCCACAGTGATTTTTATTTTAATCAGATAGTAATAGGGATGCATTGTATCCTAGAGGTTTTCTCCTGTGGAGCAAGTAGTAATTTCGCAAAGAGTGAGTATTCAGATGATGCAAAGAGATTAATGTTGATTTCCCCTTTCATGATCCCAATCCAATTCAATATTCTTCCCTCTCCAGAGAAGCTGTGAAGCTTCAAAATGCAAAATATGCTACTTTATTCCCTGAGAAGAAGGTTGTGGAGAATTCCAGAATGTTCCATTTAAAGAAAAGTACCATATTTTTTGGAGTATAAAACGCACCTACTTTTTTTAATGAGGAAAAGAAAAAGAAATCTCCCTCTGCTTCTGCGCAATTTTGCCTCGTTGCACCAAACAGCCTGCTTTACTTTCATTTTCGTTTTCAGCATAGCTTGATTAGCACCAGGAAAAAAAAATGCTCCAGCAGTTTACCTCTTTGCAGCAAGCAGCAGAGCCCTGCACAAAACAGCTGAGAGCAAATCAGCTGAGAGTCGGGAGGCGGATCCAATCAACGTGTGCTAATTAGGCTGTGCTGAAGCTGAAAGGAGTTGTTTTTTTCTTGCTGTTTGCTTGCAAGGAGGTAACTGCCATGAGGCAGAGGCCAAAGGGTGGGGGCCAGTGGGTGGGCGGGGCTACATTCGGTGTATAAGACACACCTAAATTTTCACCCCCTTTTAGGGGGGGAAAGGTGCATTTTATATTCTGAAAAATATGGTATATTTTGCACAACTCTTTAAAAAATAGAGCATTGCATTAGAAATGCATGGTGTTTAATCTCAATTCATTTGATCTAAGAAAGAATTCCCTATAGCAACATTTAAAAAATGTTGACTAACATCTAGAAAAGTGTGTGTGAATTAGAGTTCTTCCAGCAATCAGGAACTTCAAATCCTAACTCAAATCAAACTCAATGCTCATAATATTCACAATAGATGGTTTCTTTTTTGGAGGGGGGAGGACACATTTCATCATGCATCAATCTGACATAAAGTCCTTTTATTATTCCAAGCAAAGAGATCTGTAAGGTTATAAAACTAAATAGGTTCATTTACAGAGTTTCATGGTTCAGCTCCTTATTTCCCTCGTTTTTCTTTTGTGACTGTGATGGTCAAAAGAATAATAAAAGAATAAACTGATTTTTAGAATGGTAAGTAAAATTTTTACAAATACTATACATTTCATGGTTTAGCACCCGAAACTTACTTCAAATACATGCTGCAATTTCAATTCACAATATTAGGTCAGCTAATAAAGAAGTTTTTAAATGAACATAACTTGTAAAAGATAAGGAAAAAAAACCTTTTGGAATAATAAGGTTTAAAATGAGAGATCCTTACACACACACACACACACTTCAACGTAACTGAAGTTGCATTTAACATAGTATATTTTAATCAATATATGGTGCTAAACTGTGCCTCTACATCATGGCAGGATTGTGTCTTGACTTTATTGCTGTGCATTCGTAATAAGACTTTAAAACTGCTAATGACTTTAAAATCTTTTAAATTCATTTTTCTGGTAATTCTAAAGGGAACTTTACTGTAGGATATAAAAAGCACGAGAAAAAGCAACTAGAAGGCTTATTCTCTGATTATAGGCGACTCCAAACTCAAGTCAAGAAGATAATTAAAAGGAGAACCCTCTGATACCAATAAGCCAAATTTTCGTGACCTTTGCCGTCAGCTTCCGTCCATGCTTCAGAGAAGTCACTGCAAGTAAAGTCAAATTGTGCAGGCTCCTCTCCCGCCTCATAGCGCATGCCCCCACCAAGCTCCGCCCACTTTACGCTAACGAATCACTTCTCAGAATTCTACTGTCCCCAGGCATGCGCACTAGATAATTCACCCGCAGGAATTCCTAACGTTCACTGCTGCCGGCACTCACTGCTACATGTACGTCAGTATCCCCCGCGCCTTTTGATTGGCTCCAAGACTTCGTTTTTTTCAGTGGGTTGGTCGCCTGAGGGACAAGTGCATGCGCTCTTCCTCCTTCCCACTCCGATGCCCAATAAAGTGGTTCTTTGAGTACTACGTTAGAAAAGCTCTGCTCCTTGACGGCGCCCCTCCCTCTCTTCTTCCCAACCTCTTCTTTCGGCTGTGACAAGTGGTGGCCGCCAAGGTGGGGAGCGGAAGCTGTTCTGCTCCTCTTCGAACGAACAGCGTTGAGGCAGGAGCAGGAGGGAAAGCGCGCGTGCGGTGGCAGTTTAAACTTGGACTTTCTGCTTCCCACAAGAGAACGGGAGCGGCGGGGACCCAGACGAACGTAAGGAGCACGCGAGGCTGCTGGGTGGCGCCAAGTTCTCACCGCCCTTAACCACTGAGGTTCGGGGATAGCTAACTCGCGACTGGTCAGTCCGTCAGTCATATCCGGTTTGAACCGGAGTGCGAGGAGGAGCTACCGCCGCCACCGCCATGGCTGAAACCGAGGAGAGGAGCTTAGACGATTTTTTCGCGAAGCGAGACAAAAAGAAACGAAAAGAGAAAAGCAGTCGAGGAAGTGCCACGGCCGCGTCTTCCTCGGCAGCCTCTTCCAATGCCACTGCCACGGGTGTGATTGGCGGAAGCCGGCAAGCAGAAGGCGCCCATGGAACCGCCTCTAATGCTAACTCGGCCACCGGCAGTGCTAAGGCGGCAAACAAGGTAAGGAGACCGAGTCCGATCAGGGAGAATTGGGAGTTATGGCTCGAGTTGGCCAGGAACTAGGGTGGAAGAGGATTGGAGAGGAGGAGGAAACTTTATCCTGACTACTTCCTGTGGGCGTTGGTAACTTCCTTTCGGTAGAGGGCGTCGCTATATCCCAGCTAGGCCATCTTGGATTTTCTCTGGGCCGCATGGGAGCTAGTTTTTCAGCTTTCTTCGCTCGTGGGGTCGAGGTTAGGGGCAATGGGAATCCATTTTGTTAGGAAATTGTCTGGTACACAGGACGACGTGGTACGTGGGGATCAATGCGGATAATTGATCAGTCTTGCTTGTCCAGGTTTGTCTCAAATTTTCCACCTGGCGCTCAGAATTTCTCTGTTTGAACCTGCATATTACTGCTATAGACGTGAGCACAGGAACTATTTTCTCATTTGCCGTTTTGAGCAACAGGAATATCTTGCTGTTGAGGCAGGATAAAAACAGGGCACTCACTTAAAAGTATAAAATATGAGAATGGTACATGGTTATTACGATTTTATTGCCTCCCTCCAAAAGCAGCCATTGATTATATGGATCAGACCAAAATTTATCTAGTCCAGCATTCTGTTTCTATATGCCACTAGTTCTCAAGATTAATGGTGCTGTAGACTAAAACAATATACTAATTTTTGTTCACATATCTCCGAACAAATTATGTAGGAAAGCAAGGTTTTTGATGACTGCAAGAGGAGGCATGCCACTTGTGAAACTATCCATATATGACAAGAGGCTAAGTTTCAGAATCCAGTGTAATTGCCTGCCTCTCCCCCTCGGGAAAAAAAAAAACTTAGAACAAAGGTAGACAACTAAGATACCTCAATTCTGATCTAGTCAGCTAGGGTAGCAATTAAGAGCAAGTTGGGGGTATTGTAGGAGCCATTTGTAATTGTACTTGACTTTTGTACTAATATAGTCTCATTCTCTTTGTAAATGGCTTTTGCTCCCAAGAAAGACCTGGCTCCTCATGGTTTCTCAAACCTTTTGGCAAACTTTATTCTTCAACAAAACTTTATTCAGCAGATGTGCATTGGTTGCAAAAACTGGACCATCACCAAATGGCAGCTATCGGTTAACAAAAGATTCTATCTTTTTGATATCACCTAGTGGTTAAACGCCGGAACTGTGAATATAAGCTATGGACAAACAGTCTTGTGCAGTCTGCCAATTTTTGAAAACTCAGCAAATTCACGCATCCAAACATTGCTGCCATCAGGAAGGATGGGCTTCTCTACCTCAAAAGATATATTAGGGAGCACCTTCAGGCTTTGACACTGCCAATTCATTGCTGCTGTTGTGCTGCTAGTCACTAAATAACTGATTGATGCACTATCCTTTGTAGGCCTTTCTGGTTGTGCTGGCATGTTATAAGGAATATTAAAGTGTTCAGTAACTGAAAAGCAAAACAATGAAAAGCAAAACAATATATATATAGAGAGAGGGGAGGGAGGGAGGCTGGGAATTTCAACAAGAATCACCACTCATAGCCTTTAATATGTTGCTTGTTATACAGCATCAACCCATTCTATAAGAGTACAGTGTAGAACAGCAATGATTTAGGGTAGCCTGATTTTCTGCTGACTCTTGGAGGGGAAGGGAGCTTGGCAAATAAGTGGATGAATGTAGCCTACATCAGTTAATGGTAAATGAAGATCCATTCCATCTTAATATCATAATGCATTGTTGACCAAATGTATGTCATTTTAATGCAACAAAATAGTTTTTAACTTGCAAATAATTTCTTCTATGTTTTCTCAGATGTATGAATTGATTATCCTCACAGCATGTTGTTGGTGAGAAATAATTGTTTTGCAGTATCTTCTAAGGTGGTTAGTAACTTGGATCTAAACTAAAATATAGCCAGTTCTCTCTCCTCCTTTTCATTCCTTTGTAAGCTTGCTCCAAGATGGGTGGCAAACTCTCGCATCTTCATGGTGGCATCACATGACGTATTAGGACTTTTTCCCCCCTTCGCTAAAACGGGCATGGGTGTGGCCAGTGCGTGACGCATCCAGCCCGTGGGCTGCAAGTTTGACAGCCCTGCTGTAAGAAATTGAGTTTTGATTTCATTGCTCCCTTTTAAATCAAACTCTGAATTAGTCAAATCAAAGCTAACTTCTATGTGAAAGTGGGGATATACGACTAAATATCAAAAAACGTAACACAAAATGCCATGTTTCATATGTAGAGAGGTTTTACTATCTTGGAAGTATGATTAAATTTTAAGTTCTAATTTTAAAATTGGACTGTAACTGCAATTTTTTTTCTGTGAGAGTCATTCTATAGCTTCCAGTGCTGATTGTCTTTTATTAAGAACTAATAATGAACCTATGTAATCTTCATCTTGCAGGAAGAGGATGACTGGAAAGAATTTGAGCAGGAAGAAATAATTGACTACAGTGGCCTCAGAGTTCAGTCCATGCAAATTAGGTATTGTCTTGAAAGTATATAGGTATATATTAAAAACTAGTTCTGTATTTATGAATGATTCAGTTACTACTTGCAAATTCTAGATGAAGAAAAATGTAATCAGGTCTTTTCTCTAAGCTTGCCACACAGTAGCTAGTATTGCTTCAAAACATCAATGCTTGCTGTTCTTAAATGCTTTAATATTTCTGTGCTTGATGGAGAAATTACTATTAAGTATTTAATCTTGGTGATTATTAAAAACCAGCTTTTTTCATACCTAAACATTTTGCATCCTCTATTAGTTAGGAGTATATAGTTATTGACATGATTATGTTCTAATTGTCAGTTATCAGTCTTCATAGCATGAGATTGGAGATGTTCCCTTTTGTTTTAAATAACAACACGCTTTCAGTACTGTTATATGCTCAGTACTATATATTACACTGTTTACATATTATAGTATGAATGTGTTTACATAAGTGGTGAATGCTGCAATAGCTTTTTTTTGTCAGTGAAAAAGATGAAGAAGAAAGTGAGAAAAAAGAAGAACCAAGGGATAATAATGAGGAAACAGCTGGAAGTGTGGAGAAATCATCTGGTCCTTGGAATAGATCTGCTCCTACACAAATACCTGTTGCTGAAATTATTGGTGAGTTTTGCTCTGTGTTTCTTTTAATTCATCAGTGTTTACTGAATCAGCCATTTTATCTCATTTTTAGCTAAATGAAAATCTATTGAATAAACTTGAAATACAGCTATGATTTCTTGCTAAAATGAGTACTCCTTTGGAAATATTTTATTTCTAACATTTATTTAAGTAATAGATTGTCTGATACAAAGGAATCTTATACAGCCAGGATATTGAGTGTAGATTGAATATTAAATTGAAAAAAATCACTTAATTATCTAATTACATCTGATTGAGTTTTTAAAATTCTTTACAGAAAATCCAGAGCCAGTGCAATCCAGTGGAGTATATAGGCCACCTGGTGCAAGAGAAGGCAGGACACGAAAAGTGCCACAAGGTCCCCCAGAGATCTATAGTGATACACAGTTTCCATCATTGCAGTCCACTGCCAAGCAAGTAGATACTAGAAAGTAAGTATGGCAATGATCTAAAATATTTCTTTAAAACCATTCTTCTTACAACCTAGCAATTTCTTCATAGCTTTATCCACAGATCATAAACAGGTATACAATGTGATCTGCACTAGAGGAAGCAAGTGTATTTTAAGCATAACTAGGGAAGATATGGATTTTATCAGATTGAAATTTTTAAAAAACAGTTTCTTGATTAATGTAGTGCTATTTAGAGAGGTGGGATGTGAGATTGTTGTATAACATGATGTAATATCAAATTACCTTCTAGGGGACTTGGTTCATTGCAGAGCTTCAGTATTTTAATTGATACGAAGTGGTTCAAATTTTAATTTTAGGAGGTTTAACGATGTTCAACTTAAGCGGTAAATTACAGTATATCTGTATTTGTACCACAATGTACATAAAGATGGCATTGCCAGATTTGTTTTGTAATGTTACTGCACTTGGGATTATTAAATGTGTGTTAAGTATGTTTTAGAGACTCCCTACATAATTGATTTTATTTGAATGTCAATTTTCTTGTAACACACTGCTTATAAATAAGTATTCTAAATCAGTAGATGCTTTCATGAGACTTAAGTTCAGTTCAAAAAACAAGCATGCAGAAACAATTATGCGGTTCTTTGTATTTAGCGTACGCTTTGGAAGTTTCTGAATGTTGCATTTAGGACATTTCCATATTCATAATTATTGACATGTTGCAGTGTTAGCCTATTTGGGATGTTGGGATACATTTTTATGGCTGCAATCCAGTGAACTGCCTTAGTAATGCTATCAAAAGTTTTGAATTTATGTGCTTGTAAAACAAAACCCAGTTTGTCACTTCAGAATCAGTTTATGAAATGGCATTGAGGTTTGTTCAGAGAAATGTCATCAGTACATATGCAAGCCCTTAATCATGCCTGCAATACTTCTTTGGATTATAGTCTCCTTTGTTAGGGCCCTAGTCATGGAATTTTGCAACTAAATTAGTGTCATTGATTAATATTGCTAAAGGGCAAGTGTATCTAAGACAGTTACTGATTACATTTATTTTCCCTTAGGGATAAAGAAATGGAGAAGAGCTTTGAAGTAGTAAAACACAAAAATAGAGGTAGGGATGAGGTTTCAAAATCCCAGGCAACTAAACTTCAGCTAGACAACCAATATGCTGTGCTTGGGGATCAGTAAAGCTGCACACATATTACAATTAAGGAATGGTTGTTTGATACCCTTCCACTCTTAAGGTAACTAAACTACACCAATTATGAACATGCCGTCTTGTTTCTGCTGGATCTTCTACAACAAGTGCAGACTACTTTGACGTAAGTGATTGCTTTTCTGCACTTTGAAAGTATACTTAATTTGGTACACCTTCTTTGTATTATGAGGGAAATTAATGTAAATTCTTGAACAAGAGTTCCCGGTGTTTTGATTCCTCTGCAGCCAGTGGTTATTTCAAATTTTTTTATGTTCAGATACTGAGCCTTCGTAAAGGTTGACTACCTCAGACTTGCTGCACTCATTGTGGATACCATGTGGATCACAACTTCTGGAAAAGGTTACAACTCTCTTTGGTGGCCATCTGAAACTCGAAACCAGCTCTACTGGATTCCTCTAAAGAAATCCTGCAGAAGTCAGCCATCTGAGTTGATAATATAAATGACAAATTTAAGTGACCTTAAATGTGCCCCATTTATTATATCCTTTCACATGTAGCCATAATTTACTAGGAACCTCTAATGCACAAAGATTTTTTTTAAAAAAATATGCAGCATAGTGTTGAGTTTTTCTTTTAATTTAGTTATCAGAAAATAAATACATATCCAGACAGAAAATTTATGGACACTAGTCTGTATATTCTGGTTTCATTTGTGTAAACTCTTCATTTGAAAAATAGCTTTCCGGTCTTGAGAAATTGCAATATAGTCAAGTAGTTGCATGGAATATGCAACTATATATACTTTACTGGATCTCAAAGAGTTAGGTTTTCTTTGGATAAATGGTAAATGTTTGCTCCTATAATATCTGGGACTTATTTTTGAGAAGTTCATTCTGAATATATAGCCTTAGCAACCTGTTAAGAAGCATCAGCTATTGCTCACACATACCATTATATTTGCAAATGGAAATACTTATATGTATAGTGAAAAATGTCCGTTGCTGTACTTTCTTACTGTTTAAGATTTGGATACATTTTGTGAATAAGATGTTGCATTTATGGCATTTTTTTCCTCCTGCTGCCCAAAGAATAATGGCAACCAGTTAAAACTCAGTTTTCTGGCCAGCTACGTACCCATTTATTTGGACAAATATTAACAGTATTTGAATACTAATTTGTGCTATATTATGCTGTATAACGTTAACTGTGAATAGAATTCAAACCAGCTCTGAAAGAGGTTCTTGCTCCTGAGTTTTTTTTTTTTTTTTTTACTTAGTTCTTCTTCCAATCTGAATCAAATATGGCTACTCCTAATATGTCTTTCCAAATGTCTGGCTGTTTTCTGGACTCTCAAGGATTTAGACAAATGTATTACTTATGAGATAGCTATGTACTTTATAAAAAGATGACATTGCAATTAAGGAGTGTTTAGGATATGAAATCATTGCTTTAAATGAAGAAGAGACTGCTTAGAATAATTTATTCCTATTAAGAATTGTGAGATATATTCTTCTAAGTAGTTGTGTTTTATACAGATGCAGAACCAGTCCTCTACATGCTTAGATCACTGGAAGTAAAACAGCTGACACCGTTGAGTTGCTATCTTTCCTGAAAGTTGTCTATTTGCCAACAAAGCCTTTGCAGGGTATTAAAGCTGCAGAACTAAGATTATGTGAAATTTACAATTTTAAATCCCAGCTTTGACATTTTATTAACATTGTTACACATGAATCAAGTTTTAATATACTGTATGATAGGGTACATGAAGCTGTCCTTTGTATATTCACTTGAGTTCTTGGGCATAGTTGGCATAGAAAGTTAATATTGTAACATTAATAAATATAGAAATGTTCATGACCTCTGGAGTCTAATGAATATATAAACATACATGTTCTGATGCCATGCATCACTTCAGTGTGGCAAATACATGATCATGGTGTTGAAATATAGGGCTGTAATCTTATGCATGTTATAAGAAAAAGTTCCACTGAGTTCATTCATAGATATGCATTGAATTGGCTGTTGCAAAGTATTGGTGGCCCATAAGTAACTTGAAATGTGTGGTTATCATCTACCTCACTCTGTATGTCACTGCTAGCAACACCACTAATATCAAGTGGCAAAAAAAAATTGTACTGTTTGTTCTTTAAGAGGAAACAACACTGCTAAAGTTGATAGCTTTTCATCTTGATCTCAGATACTTGTTATTAGTGAACATGCTTTCATTGAAATATTACACCATTGAATTAAAGTCAAAACTTTCAAAAGAAAATGGAGCTCTAGTGTGAACAAAGTACATATTTTATATTGAAGAATTATTCCTTGAGATTGTCTTAATTTTGGGAGCTCATACACGTGAATGGTTTATGACTTCATGCACTCTGAAGTTCTGCATCTTATTGATCCTAACAAATATATATGCTAATATATACTTCTGTTACACAATTGCTTTGTGATCCATGGGCAAAATGACTAATTATAAAGAAACAAACTAAGGTGATCTGAATGCAAATGAGTATTCTTTTAGTTCAGATATCTATTGTGAGCTGATTAAAATAAATGATAGGTTGAAGAAAACAATCCCAGTTTTTAACATTTTGACTTTGAAGTTCAGAGTATTTGATTCATGGTACTTCTGAAATCATAGTTAGCAAACAAAACAAGTTCATTCTGAATTGGTATTTAGGTTCATTGCTATTCTATGAATGCCCAGAAAAACTGAATACCCCTGGAAGACCATGTACATATTTTTAATTTGACTGTAACTAGCTGCATAACAGTGATTTATGCTTTTTAAATGAAAGCAGTGTCTATGTTCCTAGTCAAACAAATATGAACTATAATTTAGCAAGGTCTTAACAGTCATCTTCAGACAAGGGAATCTAAGGGACACAAAAACTATTTACATAAACTATAGCACAGAATATAGGATAATAAAACTTTTATTTGAGCAGCTTTTTTCTGCTCTTGCCAGCACATTTTTTATATCTCGATATATTTTACTGGTAATAAAAACAGTAACTTTGGAGGTACTGTTCGTTCAGTAAAAGCATTAGGACTTCCCAAGAACATTTTTTCAGGCTTCTATATAGATCCTAAAATGTACACTTATAATTCAAGACATATGCAGATGTGACTTTAATAGCAATGCCTACATCCATCTAGGGTATACTCAATTGTACCATGCTATTTAGCTTGTGTACCTGTTCAAGGTATGTTGGCAGTCATAGTTGAATAGGGATCAAGAGATACAAACTTCAAGCTACATAGATCCAATCAGAGATAACTCATGTTATCTCAAGAACTTAGTCTTGGACTGAGACTAAGTCATACTGAATTCAAATCCAACGTGTTGTCAATGAATAGGCTGTGACCTTAACACTATTTTCAGTTATCAGGTACAGTAAAAACACTGTACACAGCATGTCTTCTATATGCTCATTTCAGTACTTTGAATTATTCAAGGTGAATATTCATATTTTAACAGATGGGATGCTGAAAGCAGCTTAGTTTCAGACAATCCAACTGTTTTTGGATAAATTGCTTACAGCAAATCAACTATAGAGACAACTGATCAGACTACTTTCAAAAGCCGTTTTTAGACAAAATAGAGCAATAATTGACCTGCAAAATAAACTCTTTAAAATAGACTTCCTATGTCCACTTCTCCAAAAGAAACATTTATAGTAAATGCTATTAATTTGAATATGCTGCTCTTTACATCTGTATTGGGTATTACAAGTAGCTAAAAAAATTTGTTTAAAAAAGAACAATGTGAATTAAAATTGGTAAGAAAAAACCATTAACAATAAAGAATGTGATGAAGTGTGTATGTACCAAAATTTGGGAGCAATGCAGGAAAAAGTCTTTCTCATGAGCAAAGGCAAGCTACATCTCTGAGTGATGTGTTTAAAAATGACTGGGGGAGTGTGTCCCAATCTTAACCGAATGAGTTTGTAATGCGAACAGCAGAGATCCTAAGCCCGTGATGGCAAACCTATGGCACGCAGCGCCCTCTCTGTGGGCACGTGAGCTGTTGCCCCAGCTCAGCTCTGCTGCGCATGTGCACATGCCTCCCCTGGCCAGCTGGTCTTTGAGTCTCTGCTGCGCATGCATGGGGGGCAGGGAGCATGCGCGGGGCTTTGCAGGCCCCACATGCATGGGGGGCAGGGCACATGCATGGAGGCCGCATGCGCATTGCATTTTGGGGGTTTGGGCGTGCGCGTGTGTGCATTAGGCACTCAGTCCAAAAAAGGTTAGCCATCACTGTTCTAAGCCATTTGGGACTTTAAGAATTAATAGCAGCCCTTTAAATTATACTTGGCAAACAGTTGGTAACCAGTGCCAGTAGTTTATGAACTTTGTACCTTGCATAATTTGGCAATCTGCCTGTTTGATTTTGCACCAACTGAAATGTTTGGATACTTCAAGGGTAGCCCACAGTATGTTATTGCAACAGTCACAATAGAATGTAACCAGTGCATGGACAACTTGTAAAAATCTAATATTGAAAGGTATTATAATAAATATAATTGTGCAAAGATTCCTCCGCATCTGCAAATTCAGTGGGATTTAGGAATCAAAGCGGCATTTATTAACTACATGTTTTCACTTGGACTGCAATCTTATCAAATACAGCATATATCTCAGTCTCAGAAGCCAGGTCATCTTTTTAACCAACAGTAACATTTACCTATTATCAAACTTAGGTAATCTTCAAAGTTACCAGACGCTTGCTTAGAATCGGAGTGTACAAGGAGTAACATCAGCCTAGCAATGACATCTGACATCAGAATTCTAGAAAATACTCCCCTATGAAATTCAAATTCATATAGAATGGGGTACAAAATTAGATTCAAGTCAAGATAATGGGAACACAAATTAGTACTACCATCTGGATATTATTTGTCAAGAAAACTGGAAGCATTGTAAAACAATACCAAACCTCAATCCTCAGGCAGTCCACAAAGTTCTTTCATTATCTTATCTTGTCAAAAGCCCAATTGAAATGGATCCACGAAACAATTATAATTCAAATGCCACTGACCTTAACTGCCTTCTTTGGAATAGGGAAATATAAGGAGATAATGATTATTTCTGCTACTATGGGTTTATTATGGCCATTTAAATCAGCCCAGAAAACCGAAAATTTCATAATTAGGTGATGGCCCTTATAATTTTGCACCTTCTGTCTACTTCCTTAAAATCTACAATCTGAAAGAAATCCAAAATAGTTGTCAATAGAATCTGCCCAAGTTCTACAGTCCTACATAATATCATGGTGGAGACTAACTGCTTAATGTGGAAAAACAGTATCAGACACTTTCTGGGGAGACAAAAACAACCTGGTTGCCTGTACCTATTGCAGAGTTAAGATTTCAGATGGGTTTCACTCTATATGATCTGACCCATTCTAAGACCATAGCCAATTAATTTCATTACTTAATAAATCAAGACGATCACTTGGCTCCAAGAAGGGGATGCAAATGCTTAAGACAATGTCAACTGCCCAGGGAGTTTCCCCGTTCATGTTAAAAAACTTACATTCTGGAAATTAACCATAAACATTCCCATAAATTAATATAACCATATATTGATTCATTTGTACATACAGGATTAAAATTCTAGAGAGGTTAAAATACTAAATAGTTTCTAACATACAATGAGATAGGAATAAAAGGATAGTGAGAAGGTTCTGTGAAGCAAAGGACAAGAATCTGCTTTGGAATAGTTGCTTACTATAAAAAAATACAATTTGTCTACAAAATTGCTCTGCACAAAAATGGTAGAATTCTGGATTGTACCACTTCAGATACCAGGCATTATGCAGTGCGTTTTGAATATTGTTGTGCTAGCTCCCTACAAATAGAAAGGTGAAGCATAAATGAGAGTATTGCAGTGAATCTATCTTTGATATACTTTAGAATATAAAAAATACAATAAAGATTGAAGATCTATTCAATCTGCAGTGAGATATGATAGACTAGAACTCCTGTTACATTTATTCTCATGGATGCATAGAATGCCTCTTCATTTTAGGAGCAAAATGAAAAAGGGTAAAACTTCAGATTATCTGGCCATAAACATGCTGATGTACTTCAGATAAAAGGCTGTTATTAAAATGCAAAAATTAACATTTGTAACATTTGTTCCACCAAAATGGAAATTATAATGGATTTCACTGAAATTACTTAGTTTTACAAAAATGTAGAAAACTTGTCAAGTGGCAAATCCAAGAATATGAAGAAGTTTGAAACCATTGTATCAAATACAGCATCGGAAATTAGATTATGTTTGTTTTCTAAGCTACAAGACAATACTTCCCTACTTCACAGGGATGTTGTGAGATTGACTTCAGCTTTATACAGTGTTTTTGAGTTTTCCAATGCAGGTGCTATAAAAGTACAGGGTGTAATTAAACTTGCTGAAATTTGTCACAAAAAGAAAATATTTAACTTGGTTTTATTTAACAGTATTTTACCACTACTATAGTAAAGTTCTTTACACATATATTAATGATAATGTAATAATGAACTTTCCAAAAAGGCATGGTTGAGTTTTCAAACTTTATACATCTCTTTTTGGTTCTGTGTGATTAACTGTGCAGATATAATTGTATTAATAAGGTTCTTGGGATTTGCATGGATGAGACGAATTATCATTTTTGTACTCTCTCTGAATGAATAAACTTACATTCAGTTTGTTATTCTTTTTGTAGAAATCTTCTGTTATGCTCTTTCAAGACAAAAGTAATGTTATCTTCATCAATTATATTGCCTGAGAAAAGATCCTTGTATCAATTAGCAACTATTCAATATTACATCAAATCTGTTGTTTATTTACTGTAGATACCAGGTAGTTTCTTTAAAAACAAAACTAGCAAACATCAGGTTGAGAGTTAGTTTTACTATTAAAGAATGTAATCTAAATTTCCAAGTTTCCAAATACTGAAATTCTGTTTTTTTTCTCATTTGCACTTTTTTGAAATCATTTTTGAAAAGCGAAAACCCAATAGAATTTTGAAAGGAGACAGTGAATGATCTCCTTCGTTTCTGCAAAGTAGCTGATACTTGAAATCTTGCTATTTCCACTACTGCTAATGATATAAATGAATAGAAGTCCAATTTAAACTGTCTCAGATGTGGCTGATACTTTCTGCATACAGATTCCTTATTAAAACATTGATTTAACAAATGAAAGAACTGGGAGAATACTTTAAATGTCAAAATTAGAGCTTTATAATTTATAAGCCAAGTTATTTGGAAACGAAATAAAGTCTGAAATTTTGGTTAGGCAATTCTGAATTCTGTTTAACTTTAAAAATCAGATGACCCTTGGTCTAGAAGATAATGTTCTATCTTTTTAGAGAAGCTTAACCATTCTCTCCATTGAAAAGAAAATCCTGCTAACGCTAAAGTGCATGTTTTTAGAAAAGGAAAGATGAAATATAAAAGCAGGAAAAACTTCAATGGGGCTATGTCCTTTCCTAATATAAACTGATATAGCAACCTATATAAATGTTATATAACATTATATAATTGTCTTGTGGAAACCAATAAGAAAAGACAAACACAGGCAAAAGTTACATTAGGTGGCCTCCTCCAAACCTCTAATAAAAGTTGCAGAAGTTTACTTTTGAAAAAGTTGCAGTTATTATTTCTTGAAATCCAAGACACACAAAAATATAACGAAAATTAATATCTTTTATCTTGAAAAGGAAAACAAATAGAAATAGAAATTTTATATTTTCAGATTAGTTGCCTCAGTGGATTCTGGACCTCTTTGCTGTATGCTTTGCTTCAGCAGCTTTACGTTTTTGAGACAACCCAATTCCAAGTATTTTACTACTCTGAAGATAAGCAGAAGCTTCTGGTAAATGATAGTTTTCCATTGAAGGTGGTGGTTCCTTTAAAAAAAAAAGGACAGCAGTTTTTGAAAGAGCTTTAAGACTTATACTTTCAGGCTTTTTATCTGACATTTTCTTTTTAGTTTAAACTTCCTGCTACCATATAGTCCTTGTTAGAAAAACAATGGAGAAACAAGTTACTCCTTGAAAGCTGTCTGAAAAGTTCATGTTGAAACCAAACAAATAGTAATTTGTCATAACCTCTATTCCTGAGACATAAAGTGAATGTAAGAGGTTTTCTACCCTTTTAATTGTGCACAAAGCATTCCGCTGCCACAGTGGCATGGGTCTGAAATATTTTTATTTATTGTTCTTTTGCTCAATGAGCTTGAGGCAATGTATACAGATCTCTTAATTTCTTCTACTGTTGGATAGGTTGGGCAGAAAGTGGGTGAGGAGGGGAGGGGAGGGGAGGGGAGAGAACTCAAAGTCATCTAGGGAGCCTCCAAGACTGGATATTTAATCTGGTCTATCTGAATACAGGTAATCATAATACCTCACTGAATATACAGGTAAGTCCTTGATTTAAGACCCACAACTGAAACCAGAATTACAGTTGGTTAGCAAAGCAGTTAAGTCATCATGTGACTGGACCTATTTTATGAGAGTTTAATTAAATAATCTGGTCGCTCCAGTTGCATTTCTTAAAAGCTGCAGTGGCATGGTGGTTAAAATGCAGTGACTGCCAGCTGCCTGCAATTTGACAGTTCAAATCTCAGCAGCTCAAAGCTCAGCCTTCCATCCTTCCAAGGTTGGTAAAATGAAGACCCAGATCACTGGGGGCAATATGCTGACTCTGTAAACTGCTTAGAGAGGGCTGTAAAGCACTGTGAAATGGTATATTTAGTATACAAGACCATCTAAGTCAGGGGTCCTCAAACTACAGTCCTTGGGCTGGATACAGCCCACCGAAGCCATTAATCTGGCCCGCGCGGGATGAGGCTGCCCCCACATATTGCTCCACCCTCCCTCCACCCACAGTTTGGCTAAGCGCAGGCCTTACGTTCACGAGCCCCATGGACTGAAACTGGAAAGTAAGGCCAAACTTTTTGGCCGGCAAAGTGCTTCTGGGGGCCGTGGAGGCCAAAAACAGGATATGCGGAAGCCCTGAAGGGGAAAATACCACCCTCCACCTCAGTTCCTTAACTCAGGCTTCCTTCATCCATCTGTCCCTGGACTCGGTGGGGATCAACCAGTGCGCTCAAAGTGGGCAATCAGCCGCAGTGGCCCTGACGGGAGCCTGGGGAGTAGGTGCCTTGCTGCTGTGGCATTTCAGTGGGGGGTTCAATGTGGGTAGCGCAGCCTCACAGTCCCTGGCCGCCCCCCCACCTGCTGGCAGCCACAGCAGGCAAGGATGCAAAAGGAGTAGCATCCACCAAGGTGCAGGTGTCCAGCAGCAGGGACTCTGCAGCTGGCCCTCCAAGAAACAGGCATGGCAGCAGCAGCACTGGCAGCAAATAAAGGGGGGGGGAGGCACGTGATGCAGATCACCAGACACCCCTGCTCCATCCCATGTGGCTAGAACAGAGCAAGTGACTGTCCGACGCATCCAGCAGGCTGGACCACGTGCCTCTCCCATGTGCCTCTGCCTTCGGCTACTGTTGCTGCAGCAGGTGAAAACAAGGTGAGGAGGGTGTGGGGCAGTTGCTGCCTACTCTGTCCCGTCTCTTTTGACTTGTGGTTGGAGAGCAGGTCGCCACTGGTCATCTTGGCCCACTCGTGGATCTGTGACCACCGAGGCTGCCAGCAGCTCATGCAAGTCCATTAGGCCTCTGCTGTCACCGTCCAGAGCACCAGGTCTGGGGAAAGCTCGTTCCCCATCGGTGCTCTGGCTGCCCAAGCCCAGCTGGGATCGCGTGCCTTCCCCCTCATCTCTGCTGGGCCCTGGCATCCAGGGCTCTGATGGGCATCTGGCTTTCCCAACTCGTGCTGGCCATTTTTAGCCTGCTGAGCCTGGTCGTGCTTTACCACCTCTACTTGGCCTTTCTAGCTGGTCGCTTTGCCTCCTTTGAGCTGGGCGGGTCCGCCGAGCAACGGAGTTGCCATCCAGGAGCTGCCAGGAATAGAGTCCTCTGATGGCATGCCTACTTCACCAGGGCTGCTTGCCAGGGAGCCAAGCCCTGCCCTACCCTGCGAGGCAGCAGCTCCAAAGCACTTTCAGGGCGCTGCATAACTGACACAGCTCCTTCCGACACAGCTCCCGAGGCTGCGGTCCCTTCCCTGGACAGAAGGCAGCCTTCTATCTTGCAGCCCCGCTCCGCCGTATCTCCATTTTGAGCTGATGGCAAGGCGCTGCCTGAACTGGTGCCTAGGGTTTAAAGGCTCTCTTCCTACAGTCTTGAGATGGGTGCCGCTTTCTAACCCGACCCCCACCATGCTTCAGGGAAGCCTGGCTGGGTGCTATGTGTTGGGTCTGGTAGCAGATGGGGAAATGCTGTGTCCTCTCCCACTTCCTGCAGTGCATGCTGGCAAAGCACCCCTCTCATATACCCACAAGCTGCAGTTGGGTGTGCAAGGGGAATACGCTCCACACAGGGGAGGGACATGCGCCCACTGTGCTTGGCCGAAGGGCATGGGAGCAGCTGCGGCCGGCTGACGGAGATGTGATGTTGGATGGACTGACGCGGGTGGGGAGCGCATGGGAGTTGGCGGTGTCAGAACTCTCCTGGCTCTTCCCTGAAGTGCCTCGCATGAGCCAAATCCCGTTCCGAATGCCACTGCTACTCTCCGCCTTGCTCAGGACGCTTGCCCTTCACTGCCTAGTTCCGGTGGGGCAGGCAGAGTTTAATCTCTGCCCCTGGGGAGCACGTTGAGGGGAAACTGGAGTGGCCAGATCCCTTCCAGGATGCCCTCGCGATAGAGGGCCCATCACCCCTACTTTGCCTGTCAGGTGGCAGCAAGGCAACGCCTGCCCTTAGGAAACACCCCCACCTCTGGTCCTATGGATGTTGCCTCTGCTATGGAAAGGCTTGCATGGCAGGAGTAGGAGCCCTGCACTAAGGGTGGTTTTCCTCCTCCCCACTCAAGAAAAGGGTTTTGACGCAGCATTTTGAAAAAGCAGCATTTTAGTTTTCTTAATTGGAATATGCAAGAGTGTCTCCCATGCTCCCCTATCCCTCTTTGTAGGTTTCAGATTGAGTTGATATAGGCTCCCAGATATGGGCTCCCCAATCAAAAGCACGGCTGAGGGGAAGCCAACCTTAATTTCCATAGCCAAATTGGGGGCGTGGAAAGGGAGGGAGATGCAGCCCTTTCTGGGAATGCAGGCCAATCTTTCTCATTTTCCGTTCCCCCACCAATTAAGGGGGCAGGCAGGCTACTATACTTGATAGTCTAGCTCAGCCCAGGAAGGCAGAGGAGGCCAAGAAGGAGCTTGCCTGGGTCTCATGGCTGCTGCTTCAGCCACAATGAAACACATTATCTTGGCAAGGGAGCTATTGGGGAGGGGGTAGAGGAATCAAGCCCAGAGGAGAAGCACTCCTTTTCCTTCTTGTCTATTCTGGCATTGAGCAGCAGTGGAGGGAGAGCAAAAGGAGCCTGTGTTGGTTGGGGGACTTGGCCGGGGAACAGTCCCAAGTATGCAAGAGGTTGCTGCTGAGGGGTGCCTGTTTTCAGGCTCTGCACTGGACATAAACCTGCTCCTTTGCCTCTCTAAGGAGCCCCAGCTCTTGGGCTGAGTCCCTTGCCTCCCATCCACCCAAACCAAGGAGAGACAATGCCTACCCTGGTTTGTTCTACTTGTTGATTGTAAGCTCCTTGGGACTGAGAAGAATTGCTGCAAAACTGAGTTTCCTGAAGTG